GCGCCGCCCATGTCCTGCGCCTCCTCCTCATCATCTTCAGAAGCCTCCCCCATTTCCGTGTCTCCACCCCCTTGCCCCGATAACGCGCCCCCGCCGCCCGCCCCTGCCGCCGCCGCCGCCGCCGCCGCCACCGCCGCGCCGTCCGCGGCCTGCAGCGCCCTCTCGTAGTGCGCGACCGCCACATGCAGCAGCCCCAGCCCGTGCGCCGCGCGTCCGAGGTTGTACTCGGATTCCGAGGTTATGCCGCGCGCCCGCGCATAGGAGTGCAGCGCGGCCAGGCCCCGGAGCGCGGCGGCGTTGCGCTTGCGCGTGCGCCCGCCGCGGCGGTCGGCGGTGGCGAGGGCGAGCTGGGAGACTCCCAGGCAGAGCAGCAGCAGCGGCTCGTTGGGGAGGGACCTGAAATTAAAGGTTTGTGGTTGGGTTGATAATTTGCGATGGCAGGAAACAGGTGCAAATCAACAGAAGAGTGTAGGTTGAACATTGTGATTCCATTCCATCATTCGGCGGCAGCTTCGGGTTCAGCACGGGAGCCGGCGCAGCACCCGCGTGACTATTTTCTGTTCAATGAACGCAGCTCGCCAAGCCTTCCGCTCGTCCGGCCGCTAGCGAAGCGCTGAGCAAACCGCAATCGCAAGTGCGTCCAGCCGCTCCTCGCGATTACGTCACGGTGACGTCATGCCGCCCCTGCCCCCACCTGAGCGCCACCGCGTACTCCCCGCTGGCCTCCGAGTGGTCGCCCGACTGCTCCAGGGCGTGGGCCTGGCGGTTGGTGGTTGGCAGTTGTTGATTTGTGTAGGGGACGAGAAGTGGGGCCGACGCTCAGAAATGGCGTTATGTGTGTGCGTGGCTGTTGCAAAAAGGCACGTGCTCTGTGCTCCGCGCCCCTGAGGGCGCGGCCCCATTTCCATCCATGTCATGGACGCCAAGGGTCTTGAGTTTTGTAATTGCACCCTAAACCCTGGACCCCATGCCTCACCCACCTGCAGCACCGCGAGCGCGAGGCTGTCGGGGTGCTTGGCCCTCATCACCCGCACGAAGCGCCCCCAGCGGCGCAGGCCGCCGAGGCGCGACAGCACGCGGCAGTACAGGCCCCACGCCGCCCAGCTGTACGCCCAGCTGTCGGTTCAAGAATTCGAACATGCGAGCGCGGGCGGAGGAGGGAGGGGTGCAAGGGCGATGATGTCGTTTCAGGTGGTGCAGGAGGCCGCGTCGGTGTGATGGATCCCTGTGCCAGCAGGCGCCACTGGAGCCAACAGGAGGGCCCTCGAGGGACGCAGAACGGCGGGCGGGCGCCGCCGCCGCCGCCGCCGCCGCCAGCCCCCACGCCTGCCGAGACGCCCCCCGGCGCATCGCCCCCCGCGCCGGTCACGCCGGCCCGCGCCGCCCCCTGCACCGCCCCCTGCAGCTCCCCAGCACGCGGGCAGCCGCGCCCAGCGGGACCATGGCGATCCTCGCCCACGCTACGCCGCGGCCCACAGGGCGCAGCAGCCCCGCCCCCGACCGCCCCCACCCCTTGCCCACCTGCTGCAGAGGGAGCGGACGTGGTGCGCCGAGGAGCGCGCGTCCCCGGTGGCGCACTGGGCGGGGAGGGGGCGAGGGGGCGGCGCAAGCGGCTGAAAGCGGCGCGGCGGAGTGGCCCCAACTTCAGGGCTCGTCGCTGGTCCGGCGCGCCGCGTGTGGTGCGGCAGCAGCGCCGGAAGGGGGGTGCATGCTAGAATAGTCGGCGGCGCAGGGCCCGCGATCGGCCCCCGCCTCACGCCGCTCCGACCGCTCAGCCAAGATCACACCAAGGTATCTCAAGACATGTAATCCCCCATCCCCCGAACAAAATCCTCAACAAAACCCCAAAACATGATACAGAGCCCCATCGAGCAGCTGCCAAGAACCGACCAAGTGTTCCAAGCGCGGCGAGTCCGCCCCCGCCCACCTCCACCTCCGCCGCGAGCTGCCGCAGCTGCGCCCTCCGCCGCCGCGCGGCGCCGCTGCTGCCCAGGGCGCGCATCACCGCGGCCCTGTCGCGGTACTCGACCTTGGCGGCGGAGCTGCGCGCACGCGTGTGTGTGTGTGTGTGTGTGTGTGTGTGTGTGTGTGTGTGTGTGTGTGTGTGTGTGTGCACTCAAACGCAGGCAACTTTGCGAATGTGCTTGGTGAATCAAAGCAAGATATACAGGAGGGTGGGACATGGGGTCGCTGCCAGGTGCCAAGTTGTAACCCCATGTGTTGCAGCTGGACAGAACGCAGAACCCAACTGCTAGTGCCCTTGCCTGGAATGCATGCCCACCCTGCTGGCAAAACACAAACACAATACAAAAAAAAATCCGAAAGGCCCGGCTGCACCGCTGTCGAGCGCCGTTCAAAAGCGCGAGTCGAACCCCCGCACCCGGCCGCCGCCTTTGCCATCGCGGCCGCGCGCGCGACGAGCACCGCCGCCGCCTGGCCGCGTCCAGATGAGGCCAGGGCCCGGCAGAGCTGCACGAACGAGTCTGCAGGCGGTTGGGGCGGTTGAGGCGGTTATGGCAGTTGTGGCGGTCGAGGCGGTCGAGGTGGTTCAGGTGGTTGATCGTTGCAGGGCGATCGGCAGCTTGCTTGCCGATAAAACCCAGCCAAGATCGGCCGCAGTTGTGGGTGATTTGCACTCGCCAACCGCTCCCACCCTTCCGGGACGGGTGCGCTGGTCGGGCCGAATTCACAGGGACAGCGCATCGGTGCGTGCAAACACAAGACAGCACCAAGCGCAATGCAAGCAGCCCCTGTCATGCAGTGAAAGCTGCCAACCCCCAACCTCACCCCACCGCACCCTGCCCACAAGGAAAAATCAGGCGCCCACCGAAAAACTGGTCGTCCTCAAAAAGGTCGGCCCCGCCTGGCAGCACACCCTCCCCCTCGCCCCCGCCGCCGCCGTCCCCCTCGCAGCCGCCGCCGCCGCCGCCGGCCGCGGCGGCGCGGCGCTGCAGGGTGGTGACCAGCGCGGCCGCCGCCTGGTCTGCCGCGATGACGTCATGCTTCCGGCGGTTCCTGGGTTTGTGATGAAGATCGCATAGGGTTCAGGATTTAGGTTTTGGTGTCGAAAGAAAATATGCATTAGATTTTGTGAAATTCGAGCGATTATGGAAGGACGAGTGTCCTGCAAGCTGGAGGCAGGCGGCTGTTAGGGTTCCAGCGGAGGGATTTGGGAGCCGGCTTTGTTAGCAGGAACGCTGTTGTGATGCTAGAGGCCGTCCCCAACCTGATTTTCTACAGTTTCTCTGACAGGCGATTGCGGGCGAAATGCATACGTTACTGGTGGCAGTACCAGCGATTGCAGGCAACCAGCAGCTGACCTGGATTTGTAGCCCTTGAACACCGACTCCTCCTCTGCCCCTGTGTGTGTATGTGTGTGTGTGTGTGTGTGTGTGTGTGTGTGTAAAAGCGAGGCATCTTGGCATACGTCGTATTGCATACGACGTCAGCAGCGGCAGCAAGCTGCGCGTGACTGCACGCAGGCGGCTCGGGGCTCGCGGACAGAGGCGCCGGCTGACGCAGAGCGCCGGGGACGATCCTGCCCCAACAGCCGCGCCTCAGCAGCGCCACCGCTTGAGCCCCCCACTATTTAAAAAACCACCCAAACCGGGCGGCTTGTTCTGGATTGCACAGCGCTCACCCTCTCTTCTGGCGCCGTCCTTCCCAAGCCGAACCAACGCGCGCCGCAGCTTCTGAGGCAGCGCAGCGCCGCCGCCCTCCGCCCCATCCTCTCCCGCGGCGCCGCCGCCGGCCGCCGCCGCGGCGCCGCTGGCCGCCAGCTCGGCGATGGCCTCTTCCCTTTGAAGCGCGGCTTTGGTTTTGCCCAGCGATGTGGTGGGGCAGGTTGATGCAAAGAGTTTAGGGTCCGTCTGGATCACGAACTAATTCAAAAGCGGCTTGTTTTGCGACAAGCATCGAGGGCGGTTGGGTTCCGGTTTAAGGAGATTCGATGCGGTTCCGTGGGGTCCGGGCGTTGTCGGTCAGTGGGTTGGCGCGCGGCGCGCCAGCACGCGCCGCGCGCCAGCACGCGCCGCCCGCTCGCGTTCCAACCCGGGGGGGGGGAGGAGAGAGGCGCCCGCTCACCTTCCACCAGGGGCATCAGCTCCGAGCAGAAGGCCTCGGATTGGCCGAGGGCCAGGTGGGCGCGGGACTTGCGCAGGAAGAGGGCCATCTGCGTTTATGCATAGAAAGACGATGCAGTAATGGGTGGTCGTTAAAAGCACATACTACAGTAATGCTCAGCCAATGCAATCAAGGGTTGCGTATACTGGGCTGGAGATGCACCTGGGATTTTCCTGGGCTTGCTGCTGATTGGGGACGTCGAGCAATCACTGTGTGCATGAGAAGGGGGCAACATGCAGAAGAGAGGGGCGGCGAGCGGGGGTCGTCACAGGGACCCCGGCGCCCCCAGGTGATGTGATGTCATCGTGACGTCACACCTGCTTTTCGCCGTCCTCTGGCAGCGCCAGCTCCTGGGCCGCGATCATTGAGTCGAGGCCGTCGAGGACCTTAATGCGGTGTTTTGGGGGATGTGGGTTTGGGGGTGGGGTTTAGGGT